TCTTCTGTTTCCTCTTTGTAAATCACTTTCAGATTTCCTTGTTAAACAGTCTTTCTCACGGTGACCTCGCTTTTTATTGCAAAAGACTCCTCTCGGGTTTCACACCAGGCCTTATTTAGTAATCCTGTTGCCTTGCTCTCAGAAACCAGTGGCTGTATTAGTAGGACAGGTCAGAATAGACAGGATTGTTCTAACAGTGAAATTTTTGTGAATCCATCAGCGTCCCAGATAAAGTCGGGAATAATTGCTAGTTCCTCTCTAGCTGAGACCAGCTTTTGCCAAAGGGAGCTGTTAGAATTCCTATTCTCATTTTCCTTCAAGTCAGTGGTAATAGAGGAGAGGGAAGGGGAAGAAAGAAGTAAGAGTAAAGGGCAAGTCTATACAAGAAAGGTTGGAAAGGGAGCGGGGAAATGGGGTGCAAGCATTTATTAACTTCAGAACAGTTCGAAGACAGTCTCTAAAATTTCTTATTAATTTCCTTCCTTCTATTGGAAGAATTATTTTTTCTGTGCTTCTCCTTAGAAGCTTCTAATTTCCAAATCAAGATATGCTTCCCATATAGTCATTCAGTTTCATTTCAGAGCCCGCATTTTTCTAATTTTTGCATGCAAAATATTAATGTAGGTACCCCCAAAACAACTGCATTTTGGGCATTTCTAAGTTGATATTTTCTAGTTAAATCTTCCCATTTCTGTGAAGCACTTGCACGGAACTAGCAGGCTCAATGTGCCCTTTGCTGGATCCTAGCATGGGGTCTGGGTCTGTTTGAAGGTCCTGGGTGAGTTTCTTTGCAATCCTGCTGAGAATACGCCAAATAATGTTAACATAAAAACACTTGAACCTGTAAAGAATTTGTGTGGGTTTATTTAAGCCAAACTGTCGACAATGGCCGGGAAGCAGTATCTCAACAAGTTGGGATGCTGCTCCAGAGAATGGCAGTTGTTTCACCTATTTTTATACATTGCAAACACAGGAGGGGACGTAGGTGGGTTACATGACATCCATTGGTGAAAGATTAGAGAGGCAGAAGAAAGCAAAGTGGAGAAACCTCTGGAATTGGATAAAAAGTAAAACGATAGACACATACTTAGATGGTGCAGGATAGTTAATAGTTAATAGTCAACAACTAACATGATAACAATAACAATGAAGGAATTTGTGGTGTCTGTCCTGGTGCCCAGGCACATTATGTTGTGCCCCAGGGTGTCGGGGAAAAGGGAAGTTACAAGTTACTCTGAAATTTCAAGGATATGTCATCATAGATGCAAAAAAGACAGGCTCAGTTAAGAAAACGGTAGACCTTGTTGGTGAAGATACCAACCTAGGATGTAACTACCCATCAGAACTGCTTTTAGTTAAAGTTTCATTTCAGACCATCTTTTGTGATTACTTTAGGTCTCTGAGTTTGCAAAACCTCCATGCAGGCCTTTCCTGAGCTTCTCATGTTAACATGTGGCCCCTTTCATCCACATGAGTTAAAATCTGCATTTTTAGCAGTACCTGCAGTCCCTCCCAATGCACAGGAGACGGGGAAGGGAGTTCCCATCCCCACATCCCTGGGGTCTCATTCTGGCTGGGCACCTACTATAGCTGGGCAGCTGCCAAAGCAGCATTTCTAAGATGTCCCCTGGGCATTGAATCTTTAGAAAGTTCCATAGACAATACAATACACAAGGGGGTTGCATCCCTGTGACCAGAATTCCTGATGTCACCCCAGGCTTCTGCTCTGAAGATAAGAGCCAAATGGGGATGACAGAAGGTGGTGGGAAGGCTACTGTGCACTCCACACAGAGCTGTGGGAGACGCCCTGGATACGTACACCCCAAGCTTCTTCTTGTCCAATTGTGAGCGGTGGCATGGCACCAGGTGTTAACCTGCAGCGTTAGATGGGATCTCAGTTCAGCAACCTCTGTTCTTGAGTTCAGCTAAAAGAAGAATTCAGAGTCAAGAACTCAAATTATAAGAGAGAGTTTATTTAGAAAGTCACGGAGGTAGTATTGAGATGTAGCAGAAATGGGCTCAGGAAACTAGTCACTGAAGCAAAAGAAGGACCCATGGAGCTTAGGACAAAGAACAAATATAACTGCCTTGAGGAAAGGAGTGGGGACAGCCACGATGTGTTCCAGAGAGAAAGAGCCACACTGGGTCCTTCTTCATAAGTGTAGTTTTCTGGAGGTCTCAGGGAAGGATCCCAATAAAATATTCATCAGCTTTCCAGGTGTGTCCTTTTGGGTCGAAGGTCTTTAGTCAATGCAGTAGATCCCGATGTCAGCTATGTCCAGACTAATCCAATTTTGCTGCTTTTCTGGGTCTGGAGCTGAAATACAACTGAAGCTGAGATGTATTTGATGCCAGTCAGAACCTCATTGTCCTGGAGCTTAATGCTGAAGGGCTATTCTTAGGTCCTCTGGTTTCTTCCCCCTCTAAGGGCGTCTAACCCACATTGCTAACAACATGCCAGGGGAGGAAAGGTCAGGAGAGGGCCTGATCCACATGACCAGTGATATGAAAGGTCAGAGGGTCTAAACTGCAAAACCAGGGTATGCTCAGGGAGGAAAGGTTACCCAGGGGACAAGGTCCCAGTCCAGTTTTGCACATTGCTAGGTACCTGGGGCTTTCCATTCTGGTGACCTTCCCTACTGGCCTATTGTCCTACTCTGCTCAGGCTTAACTGCCTACTACACAAACAAGGTGTGTGTGAGTGTGTGTGTGTGTGTGTGTGTGTGTGTGTGTGTGTGTGTGTATAAGGAGGAGTCACTGCAGAAGAAGGTAGAAGCCTCAGGAAGAAGGCAGAAGCCTCAGCAGCTACAGGTAGAGGGAAAAAAAGGGAAGGCAGGAATAATGGGAGGGCAGGGAGGAACCTGGGTACAGACCCCGCCCCTGGCCCTTGTGACCAGGGAAGTGATCTTGGCCCAGGAGGAGGCTCAGTACACTGGGAGGAGGAACAGCACATCCCACTCACCAGGACAGCAGTGTTTGTGAGCATTTCTAGAATCCAAGATCTTCCCACAGAACAAGGGACAGAGCAGGCATCAGACACCATGGAATCCCCCTCAGCCCCTGCCCACAGAGGACTTGTCCCCAGGCAGGGGCTCCTGCTGGCTGGTGAGAGGGGACAACTACCTGGTGGTGGATGGGAGGAGGAGAGGCACAGGCTAGCTGGGGACTCCTGAGGAACACAGGCTCTCAGAGAAAACAAGGGGGAGGGGACAGGCTTCTGTTTGGACTTGAGGGTAGAAGACAGGGGAGCAGAGTAGTATGGGGGAGGGGACTCCACAACAGGAAAATGATGTGGAAGTGGTGAGGGACAGGAAAACCTTAATGGCTGCTCATTTCCCAACTTACTCATCACTGAGAATTGAATGCTGAAAACTTTTTTAAAGAATGTATTTGTATTGATTACAGAGAGGAAGGGAGAGGGAGAGAGAAACATCAGTGATGAGAGAGAATCACTGATTGACTGCCTCCTGCACGCCCCCCACTTGGGATTGAGCCTACAACCTTGGCATGGCATGTGCCCTTGACCAATAACACACCCGAGATCCTTCAGTCCAGAGGCCAATGCTCTATCCACTGAGCCAAACTGTCTAGGGCTAAAAACTTTTGATAATAACAATTTATGTGAGGAGACAGAAAATTTAACAAGGAGCAGTAAACATTGTCCTTACCACCAAGCTGAGAAATGGGCAGATACATCCAGGAGGTGCAGGATCCTGGAATAATCACTCATTCACCTATAGGTATTTGCAGCCTGTTGCAGGCACTGGGGGTGCAATAAGATCAGACAAGCCCCTGCCCACATGAAGCTCATGTTCTATGGGGAGGAAGCAGACAAGGGAAGATGTAGATGTGATGTCAGGTCCCCACAATGCCATGCAGAGAACAGAGCAGGGACAGGCCAGAAAGTGAAGACAGAGGTCATTAGAGAAGATGGTTAGCAAAAGTATCTTCTAAGGTCATCCCTGAGTGTCAACAGGAAGTTTCAGGGCAGACACCTGGGTAACAGTATTCAAAACAGAGGAAATAAGGGCAGAGGTGCTGAAGTATTGGTGGTCACACAGCTGACTTTGACCACAGGACACACACACACATACTCTGACCAAGGCTGAAAGATGAAGAGACCAGCTGAAAACCCAAAGCTTCATCTCTCCATCCCAATACATAGCTCCAAATCTTGATCAATTTCTCTCTTCACTCCTAGCCACACTCTTCACCTTCTGGAGCCTGCCCACCACTGCCCAGCTCACTATTGAATCAGTGCCACGCAATGCTGCCGAAGGGAAGGATGTGCTTCTCCGTGTCCACAACCTGCCTGGGAATCTTGGAGGCTATGCTTGGTACACAGGAGAAATAGTGGACAGCAACCATAAAATTGTATCATATGTAATAGACACTCAAAAAATTACCTACGGACCTGCATACAGTGATCGAGAGAAAATATATCCCAATGGATCCCTGCTGTTTCAGAACGTCACCCGGAAGGACACAGGATACTATATCCTACTAGCCATAGACAAAAATTTTCTGAGCAAACCAGTAACTGGACAGCTCCGTGTATACCGTGAGTGAATGCTTTCTGACCTCTGGGTCCAGGTGGGGTGAATTCTAGTTCACACACAGGACTGACAGCCCTGGACTCTGCCTCGATCCCCCTCTACATCATGTTCCAGGATGGATTTGAACATTTAGTGCAGGACACACACAGTGTAAACAAACTTCATAAGATTAGAGTTCCCTTGCCAGATTCCAGCCCTGCAGACATTCTCCACAGAGAAAAGTCTGATGGGAGTGACTCAGCAGAGGGAGACTCAGCAGAGTCTCAGTCCAGCCCCAAGCCCCCACCCCATGACCATGACACTGAGAAAGACGCTGCAGAGCTTGGTTGGGTCCTGTCCTGAGGGGACCCTGAAATCCTCACAGAGAAGCTCAGCCTGGGAACTCCTCCCAGACCCCTGTCCCAGGCCTCCTGACTCCAAGGAACCTGGTGAGCCCTCCTGGAAGGGCTGTGTGGGAACAGTGGCTCTACTGCTCACCAGCCAGGGCTCAGACACAAGACCACATCAGGACAGGGACAGCGCCTAGTCCAGAGGTGGGCAAACTTTTTGACTCGAGGGCCACAATGGGTTCTTAAACTGGACCGGAGGGCCGGAACAAAAGCATGGATGGAGTGTTTGTGTGAACTAATATAAATTCAAAGTAAACATCATTACTTAAAAGGGTACGGACTTTTTTTTTTAGTTTTATTCATTTCAAACGGGCCGTAGTTTGCCCACGGCTGGCCTAGTCCTTCAGCTAAGGCAGTGTCCGGAGAGCACAGATGAACAAAATACCCCATATCATTAGTTAACTCTTCTGAGGGACTTAGGAGACTCCGGAGGGAGGTCAGGTCTCCAGGAAGGAACAGAGGAGAGAAGATGCTCCTGACAGCTCCTTGTCCACCAGGGGTCAACCCAGGAATTCTCTCTCATGGAGGCAAATAATGGCAGTGGCCATTTAAGTCAGTGTCTCCTCTATCCCGAGCTTGAGGTCAAGTATTCAGGGATGTTTTAAAGTCAATTCACAGACAACATGGTAATCCAGAGTCCATTTACCATTTGTTCTGTTTTTATTCAGGGGAAACGGAGGCACAGTGTGATACAGTCACTGAATCAGGCTCCCACAGACACAGCAAGGTCCTTGTACAGCCACAGCCCATCCTCTCCTCCACCACGAGGGTCTTAGGTGTCTGTGGACCTGAGACCAGACATCACAGCAAGGTCCTTGTACAGCCACAGCCCATCCTCTCCTCCACCACGAGGGTCTTAGGTGTCTGTGGACCTGAGACCAGACATTGATACAATGCTTGTTCTTAGCAGTCCCCAGCTCAAGGTAGATTTTCTGGTCTGGTGATTAAGCAAATGCAGAGTTAATTTTTACTATAGAATCAGATTACCTACAATAACATTCAGAGTCACTGCTGGGAATGCCCAGGCCTTCCCCTCAGGTTGCTGATCCACACCTCCATGCACTGGACTTGAAACCACTTATTTGTTTCCTGATGTGTTGGTGTCACTCCCACTAGCTATGAAGGAAAGGACTTTGACTTCTCACTCTCCACCCTGCACCTGCTACCAGCTCAGGAACCAGCACTCACTTGCTCTTTCATGAAGGAGGGAAGGAATGATGGTGAATGATGACAGAATGAATGAATGAATGAATGATGCATAATCACTAGACAGACTGGAAACTGGATGCAGAGTCCTAAAAGGTTTTAGCCCCTCCTCTTCCCTGTCCCTACAGGTGCTGAGAGCAATGTCCATCCCTCTGACCATCTGTCCCTGAAGCCTCCTCAGGAGCCAAGTCCCTTGGTGACTGTGGTGCTGTTCCACTGGGGAAGGTTTTCCAGGCTGCACTGCTCCTGCCCTGGGGCAGCTGTGGGCTCTCGGTCCCTGGGGTCTTTTGAAGTCACCTGTGACCCCCACTGCTCACCAAGGACATTATGGCTCTCTCTGCTCCTTCCGTGTCCCTTATCTGCTTCCTCTTTCACTCCAGACACACTGCCCTGCTCTACTCTGCTTCCACAATCATGCAGTCTCCCCAGATTGTCCTGATAACAACTGTGTCCAGGCCCACCCTTCTGGACAATAGGAAAGGACACAGAAATCAGTGGGAGCAACAGCCTTGGCTCCATCATGAGCCAGTTTCCCAGGTCTACAGGTGAGAGAGCCTCTGCTGGTCCCCATCCAGGGCTCCTACCCACCCTGAGGCCAAGGAGAAGAACAGGCACGTGACAGGGACATATAAACCATTGACCTACTCTCTATGACTCCACCAGGGAGTCAAAGGCAGAAGGACAGGGCTCAGTCCCCAAAGCTCATGAGTTCACTTCACTCCTGACTGGTGACTCATACCCTTGTCCTGGTGTGAGGCTCCCATTCCTCCACTGGCTCCCGAGACCTTCCCAAGGTGGGCCTGGTGACCCTGCACCATCTGACTGCTTCAATGCCTGTTTCACACACGTTTGTCCTTATGAACACACCCTGACCACAGGTTGGGATTCTCTCAGATGGTGAGATACACCAGCCACTCTACTTTCTCTTTATGCTGCCTAATATGAATAAATTTGACTAAATTCCAGTTGTTTCCTGAAAGAAAGACAAGGAAAAACACATGCTACATGCAGTGTGGGGGCTCCTCCCCATCTGCCTGACTGTCCATAGAAACAGGGAGGGACCTTCTCCCTTACTTTACTAAAATGACACATGTCCTTTTTACCAATCTGGTGTCATCCCTCCCTTTATACAGCAGAGACACCTGGACTCACCCCCTCCCATCCCCCCGTCACATCTATTCTCTTAGCAGAACTCACCTTCTCTCTATCCCAGGGAGTACCTCATTTCAAGCCCACTGTGGTTTCATCCTTTGGTCACAATGTGAACTGATTGGATGGCAGAACTTGGTCTATGACCTTCATGCTCTCTAACAAGAATCCTCCAAAAACTGGCTTTAGAACTTCAGGGCATGAGTGATTTCCACATACTCTTTCACAGTTTAACACAGTTTCATCACTGCCAAACACAAATGGACCATGAGGGCCATATTTTAAGCAAGTTCATGCTCCCCCACCTTCCACAAGCCCCCCTTCTGTACATGCTATTGTCTGCGTGTTGAAGAAGGATCCCTGCCCTCTGCAGTGGCAGAAAGGACATTAAAGACCAAGGGCAGAGAGCATGGCTCTACTACCACTGCCAGCCAGCTCCTGCCATCTCTCACTCTTTTCTAAATCTTTCTGGGGTCACTGTCTCATGTCAGTAACCAGTGACTCCTGGGCAGATGGCCACACCTCATGGCTCTGCAGCCTGGGTCCTAAACTCACCACCAGACTTGTTTCTGGTCTACTGTGTATTGTTTCTGCTCAGACACCCAGTTCCGGACATCCTGACCAGTCCTTTCAGGGTTTAAGGACTATGGGGAGGCCCATCATTACTCCTCTCTATGTTAACCTTGGACTGTGAGGCTTCAGTGGAAACACATGTCGACCTGAAAATATAAGTCTGTGTAGCTGGAAGGGACTTAGCTCCTGCACATTCCAGGTGAGACCCCAAAGTCAGCCAGGCAGTCAGCTGGTCAGTGAGGAACCAGGACCAGGTGCCAGGTGGTCTCTGACTCCCAGTCCTGTGTCTCTCTGTGATCAAACCCTGATAGTTATCTGACACCTGAGAAAGTCTGTGCTTTTTCTCCCAGACATAGAGCAGGCGACCTTACAATCTCTGAGCGCTCAGCTCCTCATGCATTTGTTTGTCTTGTGATGCACAGACCTGCCTTATTTCTTTAAGAACTCAAGTTAGCTGAGAGGCACCAATTCTGATTGAAGAAGCCTTTGGAGGACTAAATGGGCAATGTTCTCTCTGTTACCTGCACAGCGGAGTTACCCAAACCCAACATCACAAGCAACAACTCCCTCCCTGAGGAGCACAAGGACCCTGTCGTGTTAACATGTGAACCTCAGACTCAGGACACCACCTACCTGTGGTTGATCAGCAATCAGAGTCTCCCAGCCAGTGCCAGGCTGCAGCTGTCCAAGGACAACAGGACTCTCACTTTACTCCCTGTCACAAGGAAAGACACAGGACCCTATGAGTGTGAAACCCGGAACCTCGTGAGTGCCAGCCGCAGTGACCCATTCACCCTGAATGTTGTCTGTGAGTAACTTCTGTCCCTGCCTGGCCCAGGCTGCTCACCAGAATCCACACTGCCAGAGGTCAGGCTACATCCATCCCTCTCAGTTCCATGTACACAGACCCCACTCTAACACCCAAGGGGGCCATGAGTTCCTGTACCAGACACATCTGGGCAGGTTCAGCCTTGTGCCAAGACTGGGAGGAGACAGGATACTCCAGTTTGGAGAGTCTCAGGGTTAACAAGTTTTCATGGGACAAACAGGTTAATGTCTCAGACTCAGGCTCAGTGAACACTGGGGGCTATGGGTGTGACATTTTAAAACAAGGCTGTGACCCATTTCAGAGGGACAGTGAGTTCCCAGTACCCCACACAGGAGCTCTTTATCCCCAACATCACTGCACATGACAGTGGATCCTATACCTGCCTCGCCCATAACCCTGTCACTGACTTCAATAGGACCACGGTCAAGACTATCACAGTCTATGGTAAGTGCCTCCTGGACCATCGGCACCAGGCTGTGGTTCAGGTCTGTCTGGTTTTCAGAACATAACCTAGAAGGTATTGTCTCCTACCCAGTGGCCATGGACACAAGAAAATCAGAAAGTCTTCCCCTGAGCCCTCCAACTATATCTCTGTAGACTCTCCTCCCCTTACTCTTCTGATTTCTCATGGCAGAGCTGGGGTCCAGCTGAGGAAAATGAGGAGGGGGTTCTCTCAGCCCCAGAAAGAGTCAAGAGGTGGAAGGAAGGAAATTTCCATAGGGGAAAACAAGGGCCCTCAAGGCAAAGTTGCTTCTTCTGTCACTAACACTTTCCTTCTGTCACTTCTCATCTGCTACCTGCTCCATGTGCTACAAGGAACATACAAGGCTTTGAACAAGCTCACCTCTTTTACTCCAAACTAAAGGAGAAAACCACCTCTGATGAGGGGTGAGCAGGACAGACCCCTGCTCCCTGCACTGCTCCAGGCTCACCTGGTGACTGACTGCTCTGTGCCCTCTGTGGTGGGACAGGAGTCCGTGGTGAAGATGCATGAGTAGCCTGTCTTCCAACTGGCCAAATCATGTCACCCATGGACACCATGGCCTCCCTGACACCAGGCTGCATGGAAATGGGGAGAGAGTGAGTCACAGGGGAGACCCCTCTGAGCTGTGTCCTGGCTCTGAAGTCACCGGCTGCACAACACTGTGTGACACGAGCCTATGTGACATTCCTATGGAGTGCAGTGAATGGTGGTGCTTACTTGACGAGTAGGTAGATTCATGGGACAGTAGGAGCAGTAACACAAGGTGTGTAGTTTACGGAGGAAGCTAAGAGTACGAACCTGGTATTAAAACTGCCTGCTCTCTAAGGACTTCCTTCTCTCTGATATTCAATCCACAGACCAGGTGGCAGTACCTTCCTCCCTCACCAGGGCTCCCCCTGCAAGGCCCCTCTGGTTTCCCCTGAATGGACTTGGGCCTTCACCCCTCCCCTTTCCCTTCTCTTTTCAGCAGAACAAAACTACACAGGCTACTCTGTGGGGACCATCGTTGGCAGCGTGATCGGGGTCCTCGTCGTGGTGGCTCTGGGGGCCTCCCTGAGCTATTTCGTGTACCTCAGGAGGACTAGGAGGTACCATGGCATTTCCTTCACCCTCACCCTAGTCCTCTCCCCTGAACCACGCTGACCCCCAGCGGAGCGCAGGCCAGGAGGACAAAGACCCCTTCCTCAGAGGGTTCTGGGCCTGCTCCCTGTGGCCTCCCAGCTTCCCCATGGAGGCCTATAACTCTCTCCATCCAGCTCCTCCCTCACCAGCTGCAGACCAAGGAGGTTTCCTCAACAGCTTCCTCACCTGTAAATGAGGCTCGATTAATGAACTGTGGCCTCAGGATTGTCCTGGTTCCCTGCACACACCTGCAGGGGTGCCGGCAGGTAGTAAGTGCTCAGTAAGGAACCTCCTGTTGCTTATCTAAGTCCATCCTCCCAGGTGAGGGGATGGGCTGCCTCAGGGTCTGAAAGTCATCCTGGCCTAGGCCACACAGCTGGGGTGGAGGAGCCTGGACAGGCTGGGAGGGGTCAAATGCCCCCACCAGGCCAGTTTAGTAACCACAATCCTGACCTGTGAGGTGGGAGGCTTGGCCTGGACAGGACAGCAGAGCCTGTGGCATGGTTTTTGCCTCTAGTTCAGGTGAATGGAGACAAGACAAGCCACTGTCACAGTGCAGCTCTTTAGGCCTGTGGGCCCACGTGAGCTATGGATCCTTAAATCCTTGCCTCAGTTGCTATCTCTTGGGCCTGTCCCCGCTAAGCAGTGGAGGGAGGCCTCCATCCTATACTCTGAAAGGAGACCCTCCTTGCCCCCTGTTGTGACACCAAAGCTCCCCTGCACGCCTCACAAGTAAGTCTGATCTTTCCCAGGGCCAGTGACTCCGGTGGCCTCCGAGAGCACCCACCTCCAACAGCCACATCTGGTGAGTGTCTGTTCAGCCTAAAACCCCTGGGCCTGCCAAACAGTGTCCACCCCTGCCCCTTGTCCCCCAGGCTCTGGCCCTTCCCTGGGCTTCAATGGGGATTCTCATCACCACTCTGCATAGTGGACCCCGGATCACCAGTCAACCCTGACCTATAGGCTGTGTCATGTGTCACCACCTCTCCCTCACTGGACCCTGAAATGGCCAGAGGATCTTGCTCTGGGAGATGACCTTTCACCCCTGGCTCTTGGGAGCTAAAGAACCACCCCCTCCTGAGAGAACAGGCCAAAGCTTCCCCCCTCCACCACCACCCATCCCACTGGG